ATCACATCAACAGGAACCATGAGATTCAGGGATTCAGCATTACATGTTGTATTCAAGTTCCACTTCCTTGTGAACCATTTTAACATAAATATATTACATAAAATATAGACTTAATTCCAAAAGTAGTTTTATTGGGTTTGTTTCAGCTGAGAACGTCTAGAAAAGAGTGAGTGACAAAGGGGTTTTTTTCTCTTAATTTGTAAGTCTTTGTTTTTGGTATCAGCATTACACCAAAGACCAGCCTACAGCTGAGTAAGTGCTCATGTATTTGTCCCTTCTTTCCTATTCCTCTCTCCATTCAGAGTGATATATATTGAAATTGAAATATATTGCTATGTTGTCAGCATTGCATTAGGCACTGAGACCACAGCAGTGAGTATAACTACCAAAAATCCCTTCCTTCACATTCTACTAGGGGAGAGATAGGCACAGAAACAAAATGGTAAACAGATAAAATATTTATGTATTTGGTGATGCTGTAGGCTAAAGAAAATATAAAGCAGGGAAGGGCATAGAGAGTATTGGTGGAGGAGAGTTTGCAATGTTAGATGCAGAGGCCATGGATGTCCTGAGAGAAGGCAGCTGGTTAGCAGACAACGTAGAAGATGAAGAGATGCAGACATCTAGGGGAAGGGTGTCCAGGCAGAGGGCAGTGTGCCGGCCCTAAGGTGGACGTGTGCCTGGTCTGTTCAAGGAGGCCAGTGTAGTGGGAGCAAAGCGAGTACCAGGAAGACTGGCGCAAAGTAAAGTTAAAGGGGAAGCAGAGGCCAGACCATCATGGCCTTGCAGGCCAACATAAGGGTTTTAACTTTCAATCTGCATGAGGTGGCAATCAACTGGAGGCCTTGGGACAGACAGATGAGTAGAGATCGCCATTTCAGATAACAAGGGAAGGGCTTCATGTTTTTCAGTTGGGACCTGAAGCAGAAAGTACCCAGGCAACAATGGATATATATGAAAAAGAAGCCGCCATTGAGATAGACTACAGCTCTCTAAGAGAGGATTTGAAGGTAATTGAAAGATTTCTGTTGTTCATGACTAACTCATGGTAATAGTGAATACTTAAATACTGCAGAATAATTTTAGATGATAGAGCATAAATTTAGGGGAGAAAGTAGATTTCCTAATGGTTTTTTAAGAAATAGTCTAAATAGGTTACACATAAAATGTTTAAAACATTTAAAGTTTTTATATCACCGTTTCTTACTGTGTGTTCTGTAGAACACCAATACCATGAAATGTCTTGCCAAAGAAGAAAAGCTTCTGTCAGTGTTTTGAAAGTCTATTCCCTTCTTGGAGATTCAGAATGAATAATAAAGTCTTTGAGAAGTCCTGAAATAGACAAAAGTAGCCAACATACTCCAGCATCCTGAATTGCCCTGTCTGTGTCCCAGTGCAGTACCCTCAGTAGGCGACAAATACTTCACAGCTACAGAGCACAAACCTGGAATCCAGTTTCATGGTCTCTTTAATTTAGCAGCTCTCACTCTTTCTCTTAACCCTATAGCCATATTTTGCTTTGTGTTTTGACTTCGTCCTGAAGCTGCTTCTCTCATGAGGGCAAAATGACTGTAGCCTTTCTTGGCCTTCCAGCCACCCAACCACAACCCTCAGAGAAGAGAGAGACTGCCTTTTGTAGTGGTGCTGTTCTAAAGATTGAAGAAAGGCTTTTCCACAAAGCTCTACCAATTGTCCTCTCATCACAGTGGCCTAAATTGGGTCACATGTTCATTCCTGACCAATCACTGTTGGGGGTGGGATGGACTTAGCTTTAGACCAAGCAGGGTTCCTGGGACGTATGAGGGAGATGGTCAAACATGGGCTCTGTTAGAAAGGAAGAAATGGAGAATGGACACCAAGTAGCAGTAGCTACCACATCTTTTAATTTCAGATGTTTCTAATACATTTTGTTACATTTGTTGGGCTCTTTTCATTGTACTTGTGGTACTTTTGGCAATCAGAATAAAGTTCTGATCTATTTTATAGTCTATTCAGTGCTTTCGTATTTAGAAAGTCCTTCCCCACGACATTACTGACTAAATATTTATAAATATTTTCTTCCTGTTAGTGATTTTTTTGTTTTCACTCACCTATTTAATTAATCTGAAATTTATCTTTATATATGGTATGAGGTAAGAATCTGTTTTTTAAAAGGTACGTAAGTTAACCAGTTTACTCAACATCTTCTAAATAATTCTTTTCCCAATGAATTAAAATGTCACCTTTATCAGATATTAATTAACCCCTCTGGGAGGGGGTCAAGAAAATTTTCCTGGAAGGTGATGCCTACATCACTTTTTCCCTTCTCGCTTCACTCAAGTTAGTTCTGCTCATTGTTTAGGTTTCAGCTTAAGTGTTACCCATCCAGATGGGTTGGATCCCTTCTGCCTGCCCCATAATACCTGTGCTTGCCTGGTGGAGGGTTTCGCGCTGTTGCAGACGCCAGTTTGCATGTCTGACTTCCCTGTGAGCTCTTTAAGGGCAGGGACAGAATAGTTTTCATCACTGAATCCTCAGTGTCTAATACATAGTAGATGATCAATATTTTTTAATGAACGAGTAAATGAAGTGATACGTGAATTGTTACTTTTTTAGCCAGATTAAGAAAGATGAAGGTGCAGCGCGTTCCAAGAGAGCAGCATCTATGACTCTAGAGCTATGAAAGAGCACAGCCAACTTCAGGAAGCTACAGCAGTGTGACCTGACCGCACTGCAGACTCAGAGAGGGCCGCAAAGGAGGGCAGGAGTGGATGCGGAGGGAGATGGGCCAGATCCCGAAGGGCCCTGTGCCTAATTATTGTACCTTAGCAGTTTGGATCTAAACGGCATGCTAACCATTGCTGTTCTTTGCCAATAATAGGCTCTACAATCTGATAAAGAAATTGAGGCCCACCTTAGACTCCTACGGCAACAAGTAGCATCCCAGGAAGATGTCCTGCTGAGGACAGCAGCCCCAAACCTCAGAGCCCCGGAGAACCTAAAGACTGTCAGAGACAAGTTTCAGGAGTACACAGACGGTGAAATTAAGCTTTAGTTGTTAGCAATATCATATTCATGGGTGTTAGGAGCTTTGATTTCTATAACATTTACTAATAATCCCCCCTGAATTGTACCTTTGTTTTTATTATATATTTTTTTTCCTCTATTATCTTATAGTAATGTACTTTTAATACTGAATCACTAATTCCTTCCTTTTGAAAAGCGTTCTGCTTTCATTTAAAGACAGGTGTATTGATTATTTTAGAATAGTGTCTTATTTCATACCAGCGTAAGAGGCATATTAGATACTCTGTTGGAGTTTGTTATTATTATTTAAAAATCAGCCCTACCAGAAAAAGGGCTCATCAGTTTTAAGTCATTTTCTTGGAATTAATAATAGTTGAGGTGTTTTGAAGGTAGATTTTACTCAAGACAACCAAACTCAAAATCTAGTTTAAAAAATATTTTATGCTTTAAAGGTGAAATAAGAGAAGCCCTTGGTGGTCTCCAAAATAAAGAACATTGATTCTCTCTTAGCTTTTGAGGCCAGCAGAAAGGAAGCCAGAATATGTAGGCAAGAGTTTGAACAGGTGAAAAAAAGGAGATACAATCTGTTCAGCCAATGTTTTGAGCACGTCTCAGTCGCAATTGATCAGATCTACAAGAAGCTCTGCAGAAACAACAGTGCCCAAGTACGTATTTTTCACCTCAAATATGAGTGGGAACTTCGTGTTATTGGTGGTGTGTTTTTTTTCTGGTGGGAAATCGCCACCACACTATCTGAATGACCCACTTACCGGGCAAAGTCAGCTCATGGAAATTGGTCATTGCAGTGACCTGTGTTCTAGGTCCTACTCATTCCACCACTAACCAGCCTGGACAAGTCAGAATCTCTCTGGTCCTGCTTCTTCATCTGCAAAATGAGTGGGTTAGAGCATTTGGTTTCCAGGTTCTCTTTCAGTTCTGGAATTCTGTCACCTGTACTAATTTGATTTTATAGAGCCATCTCTGTAGTAAAGTTAGGGTGATGTAGATGATCTGGGGAAAATGGTTGATCTGGGGTCTGTGGAGTTGCCCAGAGTAACAAAGGAGGGGGAAAGAACTAAAGGCAGCGTTCAAATCTAGATGTGCCCCTTGTAATCTCTCCATTCCGTGATCAGCATCCACAGCAAATACTGTGGACTTGAATGTGGACTAAAGATGTAGATCTGATCTGATCTATCTGCTTTTCCCTCTTTCTCATGGGATTCTTTTATGACTGAGGTAATCCTGAATCATATATTTAGAATTTTCACCAAAAATAACTTATTTTCAGTAAAGTAAGACTAAAGGACAGGATTCATCAATAAAGATTTGATGAAAGGACCAATGAAAGAACTGAATGAAGATTGTTTTAGTAAGACTGCAGCGTATGCTTCTGAGCTTTGAATGGCAGCCTGATGGGAAGGCCTTATCCTTTATGTTAGAATGCTTTCCCTCTACTCCCCGCCCCAGACACCCTTGCTGTCTGTGATTACATATAGATAGAGCTAAATACATTATTTACAGGCATTGATATTTTTCCATCAAAATGGAAGAAAATCTAACCAAGAGTATTTTGTAGTTAAACTCTGTTGCAATTCCATGTTGAAATTTACTAATAGCTTTTCTGATGCTGCTAAATAAATAACATGTGTTTCAGGCATTTCTTAGCCCAGAAAACCCAGAAGAGCCTTACTTGGAGGGAATTAGCTATAACTGTGTGGCCCCAGGCAAACGGTTCATGCCAATGGATAATTTGTCGGGGGGAGAAAAGTGTGTGGCAGCTTTGGCTCTCCTGTTTGCTGTGCACAGGTAAGGTCACAGTGAGCTATATGATTTTGCATCAGGGCAGAAACCAAATAGACCTTCCTACAGAAGATCTGTTAATTACTTTTCTTTAGTCATATTTAGCGTACGTGATACAAAACTTTTTTTCAGCCAGACAAGTCAGGCCTATGCTGTAGGCCTGTAACAATTTAGGCGGCAAATCTAAGAGAGAATTCAGTCTTCGACAGATTTTTATTCAATTTGTTATTATCAGTAGCTACTAATATTCCAGCTTCATAGAAAATAAAGGAGAAAAAGGAGTATCAAATGGCCAGATGTGAAATCAGGATTGCCAAAAAACAGTACCAACAACAAAGCCAAACAAAATAAAAACACCTAACTTGTATATTATTTTCCTTGTCCCTATTCAGAGATCTGCTATTTAGTAAGGAATGTTAAAGTATTTCTTCTGAAAAAAATGTTTAACCTCCTCATTTCCACTGATGATGGTGACACTTAACGTTTGTAAAATAAAGCAAGGGGAAAAATGTTAGCTAAAATTAAGGCAATTAACTTTTGACATTCAAAGCATTAGATGAAGAACTAAGGTATAGATGATGCTGCCTCTCTATTATCATGATCAGAAAGATCAACATAAAAGTTTTACAGCTGTTTTCTACTGGTCTCAAGAAGGAAAAGGAATTGGCAATTACAGGAAAGGAAAAGAAAATGCCATTAATGCAGGAGGACTTTGGGAAAAACAGGAGGCAGGAACTTAAACAAGAGCCTGTGTGAAGTAAATCTTAGCAGAATAAGACTAATACTAGGTGTCACCCCCATCCCATTTATTCAACAGATATTTATTAAATATTTACTGTGTGTCGAGTGGTGTTAACAGACATTAGAGGGACTTCCTTGGTGGTCCAATGGCTAAGATTCCATGCTTCCAGTGCAGGGGGCCTGGGTTCGATCCCTGGTCAGGGAACTAGATCCCACGTGCCGCAGCCAAATAAGTATGTTTTCAAAAGTGGACGTTAGAGGCGGCAGTGACGACGGCAGACGCCCCGCCTCTAAGCTGCTTCAGTTTAGTTGAGGAAGACAGATGATAAATAAGGTGTATTAGTAAAGTAATTCTCTAATATAGAGACTATTAGAAAATGACAGATGCTATCGAGAAAATTAAAGAAGGGAATGGTGATAGTAACAGGGAAGGGTTTGCAATATTTAAAAGTCTTCTGGGAAGGCCTATTTGAAAAGGTAGTATCTGAGCAAAGATTTGAAGAAAATAAGGGAGCAAGTCACGTGGATGGATGTTCTAGGGGAGAATTCTAAGGGAAGAATGTTCTAGACATGAGGAACAAGTGCAAAGGCCCTGAGGCCAGAGGGAGCCTGGCGCCTGTAGAGAATAGACTGTGTGCAGCAGTGGCAGGCACAGGATTAGGAAACTCGTGTAGCAGTCAGACTGGAGGATCGTGGCGGGTTGGACCAGTGTGGGAGCAGACAGGGCGTGGGGTAGGAGGGACCCTAATCAACGGGAGTGATAAGAGCTGCCATTCACTAAGCTGGAGAGGACCACAGGAGGGATGAGTTTGAGGGGTAGGTGAGGAGTTTGATTTTGCACGAGTTCACGCTAGACACCCACATGGAGTTGAGGAAGCTGTTGGACCCGTGAGGCCAGGGTTAAAGAGAGAGGTCAGAACTATCAATAGAAGATACTTAAAACCTCCAGAGCAGATGAAATCACCAAGGGAGCTAATCAGATGGAGGAGTGCTCTAGGCGCTGAGCCCCGAAGGCACTGCAGCGTCAAGAAGTTAGAGAGATGAGGAGGAGCTGCTAGGAGACTGGGGCCTGGAGCAATGGGTGAGGCACTGGGGCGGAGGCCATGTCCTTGTCCTTGACGTCAGAGGAACGGGGAGGACCGCCCCCCCCCCACCCCCCGCCACCGTACCATCTGCAAAGGTCACCTGGGATGTGAACTGAGAATTGAGCGTTGCATTTACCGACATAGAGGTCATTGGTGACCTAGACAAAAGCATCCAAAAGGATGTGTTTTATTTATTTATCCTGAATACTCTTAGTCCTCTCCTCCAAGTCTTGTAAAACAAAGTTGTAACTTAAGCGATTATAATTTTTTTCTAGTTTTCGGCCTGCTCCATTCTTTGTTTTAGATGAAGTAGATGCAGCCCTGGACAATACTAACATTGGCAAAGTAAGTTCCTTTCTGCTTTTAATTTCCAGTACAGTGTCTATAATTCAAGGATCATGATGCAGCAGTCAGAAGGCAATTTACCCTGAACATGTTTATTTGATAATTGCTGGTTAAAAATAGATTTTTCTAAGTTAAGAATCTAAAAACAAGATGATTCAGGGTAGTAGCTTTCATTCAAGGTTTAGGGGACCCTCAATGAGTTCCTGGGGAGTCAAGTGAGAATCACTATACTGGATCCACAACATTGCTACTGGGTGACTTGCTTTTCCCTAAATCTAGGTTTTTGGGACCTAGTAGTAGACCTTAGTAGTAGTAGCAGCAGCAGACCTTAATAGTAGGCCACATGGCAAACAGGACCAAATTAGTGTTTAATAAAGTCCAAAAATAACATATCTAAATAAAATTCCAAAGGAATTAAAGTTCAAAATTCTGCTCCCCTTCGTTTATTAAAATTTATAGTCATTTACTACACTTGCACTGTTTTCAGTATTTGAGACCATGGGGGAACTAAGGACACAACTGAAAGTCAGCCTTAAAGATCAGTGCATAGATACACAAAGCCACCTGAGAGACAGGCTCTCAGACCACACATCCTGACTGTAAATTTTTGACCTGAGAATGGGGTTGACCATGGACACGTGACCAAAGGATAGCGGCAAACACTGGCAGTGCCTGTCACTGCCCAGGGCTGGGACAGCTCCATCCTGCAGAGTCCCTGTGTTGTGGTCCTACTTCCAGAGCCATCCATTTCCAGAAACGGATGAATGAAATGACTGGGCTTTGCATTTACAGCTGCTTACAAGGAGGCTGCTCTGGTCATGCTGACAGATATATCTCTGTTAATTTGTACACTGGCATTCTGGTTTATACCTTAGTCTTAGGAGCTCGGTTAATGAGTCCAGCCCCGAGAGATGTAGTCAGTCTTGGGGTGCCACCCTGACAGGTTGAGTCTCTGAAACTGACCTCCCTGATTTGTTACTCTGTTGAACCTCATGTGTAATGCCTGGGAGAGTCAGGGGATTTTTCAGGAGCTGCAGCCTGTGGTAACTTCTAATTTTAGGCAACAATGTCATCTTTCAGATTTCCCAGGCTGTATTCATCTAACCCAAACCTCTCTAGGACCTTATCTATTTTTTTATACTTTTTTAAAAATTTTATTTATTTATTTATTTTTGGCTGCGTTGGGTCTTTGTTGCTGCGCTCAGGCTTTCTCTAGTTTCGGCGAGTGGGGGCTACTCTTCATTGCGGTGCGCGGGCTTCTCATTGCAGTGGCTTCTCTTGTTGTGGAGCACGGGTTCTAGGTGTGCGGGCTTCAGTAGTCGTGGCTTGCGGGCTCCAGAGCGCAGGCTCAGTACCTGTGGTGCACGGGCTTAGTTGCTCCGCGGCATGTGGGATCTTCCCAGACCAGGGCTCGAACCTGTGTCCTCTGCACTGGCAGGCGGACTCTTAACCACTGCGCCACCAGCCAAGTCCCGGACCTTGCTTTTTAAACATGTCATAGCGTACATAAGAATAGCACATCAACACCACCCCCACAGAAGTTAGAAAACAAATCCAAAGTCCCCCGAACGTTGTAGAGAACAGGCAAGAGCCACATTCTGTGACCTACCAGAGACTTCAGGATTACCGGGGGAAGAAAACGGGAAGAAAAGAAAATCTTGATTTCCCTCTCTTGAATGCCAGCCAGTCTGCATCAGCTAACTGGACTCCATAGCCTCACTCATTTGGGAGAAATTTCCCCTCAGAAGGTTAATTTTAGTACTTTGTATCCCATACCCTTTGTGTGTGGTCTGGGGGGTGGGTGGGATCCATCACTGTGGACTGCCCCTTCTCTCTGTAGCATTTAAGGGATCCATATCTTCTAGCAAAATTTAGATGTTCGTATTAGTGGCATCTTCACATACTAGGTCTTTCTTAAGACTTTTCTGTTTGCACCTATCCTATGTATCAAAAACCTCTTAATTTCCAGTTTCCCTTTGAGATTTACGTTCCTGGCACCCCGCTGCTGAACTGAGTATGAGCAGTGATGTAATATGAGCAGCTTGGAAGGCGCTTCCAGTCCCTCTTGTGATCAGGGTGCCCAGCATTGATCACAGGCAACTCTCCTAGCAAAATGCATGCCTTACGTATTTGCATCCCATCTCCTCTTCCATTCTATCAATATCCCAAGACTTTTTAAAGACCTGTATCATAGTGGCTGCCATTGCCTCTAATGCGGCAGTTCCTTCTATGAATTCAGCCTCTTAGCCCAAAGCCGTTTCCCTCCTCTCTCATCATTCACCTCAACTAGTGACTCATTCCTCAACCAGAGCTGCCATTCCTCCTTCCAGAACTTGTGCCCTTAGTATCTTGCGTGCAGTCAGGACCAATACACATGGAGAAGACACCCTCTGGAATTGCAGAGAGATCCAGGGAGTTGGCAAGTATCTTGTTAAACTGTGGTTTGAGTCTAAGTTCTTTATCATTCTCCAAATTCTGAGTAGTTTGTTCACCAAGACCCATTTCTATCCAGTCTATCTGTTCTTATTCTCATTCCTTGGAATTAAGCCTCCTGAAGGAGCTGTTGAGCTCCCCTCTAACCAAATGAGTTGATTATGGATTATGAATACATATATAATCGACATATTTTTCCCACCCTGAGGCTTTGTTGGCAATATAGGAAGTTGGAAGTTTAAATACCAGCCCTTCTTCACCCTCATAAAATATCTGAGTGGTGATTTTATCTTGTTGTAAAGGTTGATTTCGTATTCACATGATAGTATCTTAAGTTAGAGCTTTATTCTTAAAAAAATATTCTTCCAAGTTTTCAGGTATAGAATTAATGAGGTTTATATATTTTTTACTAACCTCTTATTTTACAATCTGAGCTATTTCCATTTCTGCAGTTTTAGTGGATTTACTGAATTAACAGAAAGGGAAGTAAGCGCCTTGTCACCTAAAATGGGCAGATTCATGCAGAGACATGCAGAATCACTGTCCTCCAGACCCCGAGAGACGAGACCTTTCTTTACTGATGAAATGTGTGCTTTCTCCTCCCTCCCAGGTATCGAGTTATATCAAAGAGCAGACTCAGGACCAGTTTCAGATGATAATCATTTCCCTAAAAGAGGAGTTATATTGCAAAGCTGATGCACTGATAGGCATCTATCCAGAGGTAAAGATAAGTAAATGGGGGAGAGGAATAAAAATCACCTTAGAGTGTCCTGACAGCACAATTATAAGTTCCTAGTGAAGTCTATAGATACTGTTTGATTTCTGCAGTTTATAAATATAGGCTTAAATGATTTTTTAATCAAATAAGACTTAACAGTAACTACTCAGATATTTTTCCATGGCAGTACACAGAAATTTAAGATATATTTTAAGTGAAAAAGAAAATCGAAAATTGCAGAACAGTATGATAATTGTTTATAAAATAGTAGTACATATTAACTTAGAATAAATTGTCAATATTGTTTCATATTTCTGTAATGTTTGAATGTTGTAGGCAAAAACAAATGCATTGTGGTAGAACAAGGAACTATTTATCTTCCAAAACTAACCAAGGAAAAAAAAAAACAAAGAAATTGGCAAGTTCCAAGTTGTACAGTAACTTCTAGAATTCAAACACACCTTTCTTGAGCCACCGAAAATACTTACCTGAGCTAATGGAGCAGGGCAACTCATTCAAATCATTCAATTCTTGGACAATTAGGTTTTGCTTCCTGTGTTTTCCTTTAAGCTAAGATAAAAATTAACTTCCCTTCCTGTGCCTAATTAATGTTAGGGGATCACTGGAAATATGCTGCCAGAGAGAAATGGAAGTTCTCATTACCAGTGTAGGAGAGGGATAAAACCTTTTCCTACCCAACTCAGGTTCTCTGGCTGGGGCCCTGTAAATTAGACCAGCAATAGATAGATTAACAAGAGAAAAACAGGTTATTAATATGTGCATCATGTGTGCACACATGGGTACACCCAGCAATGAGTAACTCAAAGGGCTGGCTAGAACTTGGACTTAATACCATCCTAGGCTAAAATAAGGAAGAGTCTTGGGGCTTCTGGGCAGGGGAGGCAAGTGATGGGAAGGTGACCAGGAGAAGTACAGTAAACAAGGGCTGTTCAGTCAGATTTGCTCTGCAGATTGAGGTGCCCTCTCCACTGATAAAGAGTTAAGAGTGGAAAGGGTGTCATCTTTTACATAAATGTAAACTTCCTTTACAAAAGGAAAACGTGTGCCTGGTTTTTGGAGCTTTTCCTACATCTGCTGGTTTTCAGTAGCCTCTGGCTCAAAACAATCCATATGCAAAAGAGGCCTATTTTCGGGTGGCATATTCTGGTACCCTTTACCAGATTAATATAAGAAATAAATAAAGCTGATGTAATGCAGAGTAATACCTTTTGAGGTGGCTCTAAGGAGGTTCCTTTTCAAATGCAAATCTAGACTCACCAATGGCTCTTATTTTACATTTAATAGCACTTATTCCCTAAGTAAAGGAACTGACTTTTAACTGTCTTCTCTCCCTTTCAGCATGATGACTGCATGTTCAGCCGAGTTTTGACCCTAGATCTGTCTCAGTATCCAGATACTGAAGACAAGAGAAAGCAGCAGGAGGCCCGTTAGGACGCAGAATGCCCCTGTGCTGTAAGAGCAGAGTCACGCAGCGCCCAGGCTAGTCACTGTTCTCACTCTGCCGTTCAACCCCACAGCACTCTTGAGTGACAGACTTCTGGAGCAAAAGCTAGACAGCCTGTGTGTCACTTATGAAAAAGCTTAATTGCTACCAGGCAAAGATGCTGTAGCTCACTTCCATTAAGGAGTGCCCAGGCCCCA